TGAACCAATCCTTTAGATATTTGATTCATATTTATGGGATGTTGGAGCAGTGGTAGGGCAAAAGGAAGTCGGCAAATGGCAAGGGGCAGTCGGCAAATGTAAGGGCAATTGGTCATATTATATTGAAAGCATATTTGGCCTTTAAACTTTGTTGTAATTCAAATTTCTGCTCATTTAATTGCAACTTTTCTACACAAAGGACATGAGACCCTATTAATAAATGACAAGGGAGCCTACTGTAATTTCCCTTTGAGGCACATCTGTGGTTGCATGCATGCATGATGCTTATTAAAGCAATATATTAGTCTCAACATAAAATAATCAATCAGATTTACTGTTGAAGTCTCTTGTATTTGGAGGTTTTAGTATATGCACACGTTACATTAAAAGGGCACTTCAGCCCCCTTAGAAAAGAGCAGATTTTCCCCTCTCTCTGGCATCCCTATGTCTATGAGAAACATATATATTTTGTTTCCATATCCTATTAGGTATCTCCATAAGGCTACCTAATGGTGTCATGTGTATCTGATTAACACATGTTTAACTTGTGAGTTGTGTGGTCTGGAGGATACATCATACATGTGAGGATTTCGGATTAAAAATTATATAAACTGACAAAGTATAATCATATAATGAAAAACAACCTGATTCAAGTATGTGGTGAAATCACACGATATTAAATTGAAATAAAGTTTACTGTAATTGACATAAAAAGGCAAATGTACAACTATAATTTATAAAAAGACAACATTAATACTGTACAGTATGTTGTTGTCAACATAATGTTGTCAACATAATATTGTCAACATCGTTTTTAAAATAGGCCTATGTCTCGTCTTTGTTCACAAAATTATGTGCCGGTGGAAAAAACTATTCAACTACTTGCTGACAACACGAACACGGATTAATGTATTTCGTCTTGGGTGCAGCTGTAGATAAACATTCTATAAAGTGAAATAGATATAATATAAACTACATCGTGTTTTTATGCAATATTAGCGAATTTATCTCGAACGCTTGATCGCTGGTAGAATCTTCGATAAAACATCTGTGTAAATCTTGGTGTGAATGTGATAGCCTACCTGAAAATAAATAGACAAAACTTCGACGTTTCGAGGGAACGCCAGGTAGTCTATCACATTCACACAGAAGTTTAGCGAATTTAACGTGACAAACAATATATACAATACTTTGCTTTTACTGTAATAAGCCGCAAAAAGTGCGTTTACATCTTTACGCTACTCATTATTAAATGATACTTACATTGCATACACAGAACGATTTATTAATACATTGATTCAAGTTTAGAAACATTACAAAGACTCGGGTCTCGGGTATTCTCAGCTATATTTTTGCTCAATTTCTTGGCCAGTTGCTTGTTCATATCTTACAAATAAACCGGAAGTTCAAAGGTAAATGTTGACAATCTCTGGCTTCCTATTGGTTTGCTACCTTCGCTACCCAATTAGTACTCTGACCAATAGAAAACAATCTTATTCAAGCTGCTACATTACCGTATTGTTTGACGTCCACGAAAATTTTAACTCGCTCACGTCAGGCCACGCCATCCTGGCTAGTACAGCCGGAAGTTTTTATCAGGATTTGGTAGGTACAAAGTGCCGGTTGTACTAGCCAGGATGGCGTGATTGATGACGAATCGCTTGTAAAAACGCGGACAAATATTTGCTCGAGTTACGCTTCTGGTATAACTTCCTATTCTGTGGCTTCACTACAGAGTTTTTGGCGGGAAAATTTGTAATGTTTTGGAGATCGAAGGCGCCGGTTACTTCGTGTCATGAAAGGGCATTTTTGTTCACAAATACCCGCTTATTTTACGTTATAGCGACTGGTTAGTTTTGGAAATTTATAACTCAATGGACGGGAGGAAAAGGATTGCGTAGTAAAGAGAAAAATACGTGCAGTCGTTGACTTTTACTGTGATGTTTATATTTGTGGTGAAAGACGGCCGGAAATTTCGCTACATGATACCATCGCTGCACTGGATAATAAAAAAATTCTGCTGGAAATTCGACAATGGATAAAGAGACAACGCTTGAATAAAAAAACTGGTAATGTCTGCGACTGCTTTATAATGAATTTTATATATACTTCGGTAGAGTCAGTATAGGCAGTTGTGCCTAGCGTTGGTTTATATATCTCGTTTCCTTCCCATTTCACAGCTCTACGTAAATCACATGCCTATATTAAGTAGTTTTTCTTTGTTAGAATTTAATATACGACTTTGGAACAAATTAATGTAATTAAAGATGCTGTATTTAAAAGTCCGTAAATGTAATTATGTAAACAAACGCTTTGTTTACATTTTGAACTGCTATATAGCGTATATTTGTAAAATATGATATACTAACTGAATATCTAATACTTTTCTGGTTCGCTATGCATGTAAATGAATATAAACTCTACGTTTCAATTCAAAAAAGTTCGAAAGACGAAAGTTTGAAAATTTGGGCACTGTTTACATATATCTGTGGGACTTCCCCTTCGTACATTATATTTTTATTTCTTGCTATGTAAATTTTTGGCTTGTTATGTTTCAAATATCTAATATTAAATGATAATTTAAAGTCACCAAACATGAAAAAATACTTTTCTTTATGTAAACTCTATTCTGTGCATCAGTTCTGCTTATGACCAGAACTGGAGCAGAACTGATGCACTTTATTTATTTATTTATTCTCGTATTTATTTATTTAATGTATTTATTTATATTATGCATTCATGCCAGGATCACCACAACAGTACCAATTACTGTGGGCCCTTTAAATAGGTAATAAAACACAACGAAAACTTCGAGGCATTTTATATTTAACTTTGAGGCATTTCAACCGAGACGAGTTGGTTTTTGTACTATTTATTAAGATTATGGTATATACAACACAAGTTGTATTGAATTAAAATACAAACTATCATTACAGTCAAATCCGGCATTCCATCTTCTATGCTACTGAGGTTCAACAACTTCTATGATACTCTATAAGTTCCAAATCTGGATGTATAAGCTGTTTATTACTTTTATTTTAATTTAATATTGCTTTTATTTAAAGAATAAATTATGAACTGATCACATTCATTTGTCTCATTCAATACACTAATCACACATACATGATATTATCAGTAATTAGAAATACACACTGAGATAATTATCTAAACAACCTAGCTTACATCATAATATTGTTTAACCCATTGAGTCGCATTGCACCCTGATGCACCCTACTTTAGTATTTTACTCTAACGCCAGACTATTTTACTCGTCAAGGGGAGAGTGCTGGCACTTAATGGGTTAACTGGCCTATCTGCCCATGTGTCTAGTTAACCCATTGAGTCGCATTGCACCCTGATGCACCCTACTTTAGTATTTTCTCTAACGCCAGACGATTTTACTCGTCAAGGGGAGAGCGCTGGCGCTTAATGGGTTAATTCACTTTAATTTATTAAATGTGTTTGACCCTAATTTCAGGGTCTTGGCTTGGATTTGAGATTTTGGGAGTGCTGCCTTGTAAATTTCAGAGTGTGTACTAGCCAATAGACCTTTTTAAGAAGTCTGCCTTTTGACATAGTTTGCAGATAAATACGACCATTTGGCCAATCAGGCAAATTTGTGCAGGGTTTTTCTTTAGCCGCAAACTAGTACGTCACAAGGCAGACTTACCCTGAATACCCCAATGCACGGTTTCAGTAATGCTTGCCAACAATAGACTATGTCTGTGGTTCTATGAGATACAACCAAATACAAGGCCAACATATGCACACACATCTATGTCATTCTGACATTAAAAGGACTTAATCACTTATATTATAATGTTGGGCAAAAACTATAGACATGCATGCACCTGACACAAAGACATCACAGAATTAACCTCCTGCAAACTAGATTTTACACTGTTTTTTTTTAAAGAAATAAATAGAAGCATATTCTGACTGTTGTAAGTAGCACTACATTGTATTTTATGAACCTACACAGTTTTACACAAATAATCAAGCCACATTCTTTTTATCTTCCTGTGTTTTTCCAGTTCTGGTCACGGTCTTCTAGCTGCGACCCTGCCTACTTTATTATTTCACTCTGTATGTAAATTTCCACTTGATAATTTCCATCTACCAAAGTAACCAGACACTTGGTTGAGATGGCAACAAAATCTTGATATACAGGGTGTATAAAAAAAAGGTAATTGAACTTCAGCACGCTATTATATGTGAATTACTCGGCATATGAACAATTGGTTTTCATATTCGGAAAGATCAGACTTTTAGCTATTGAATGACATGCTTTTCATGCCAAGAGGAGAAAAAATAAGCATGTACGAGGCCGATTAAAAATGTTAGTCAAAATCACATATTTTCACCTCTGTGCCCAATTAAAACAATGCATAACAAAAGAAAAAGCAATTAATTAATCACGAACGTGTCGTAGCTTAGCTAAGATTTACTCCTACTTAATAATAATTATGAATATGTGCGTAGTTCAATGAAGTGAAATTCATCAACTTAAGTACCAAAGGGGGTTCATTTTAAATGGTTTTAGACCCAACTCTCAACGGTGAAAATATGCGATTCTGACTAACATTTTTTATCGGATTCGTATTTGCTCATTTTTTATCCATTTGGCATGAATTAAGATATCATTCAACAGCTAAAAGCATGATCTTTCGAATGTGAAAAAATCCCATTACCTTTTTTTTATACACCCTGTATATCCACTGATTTATCTACTATCGCTGGATGACTGTGCAATCTTCTCCCCTTAATAAGTAAAATCACCTGCCATTAGTCATAATACAATAATAAAGTTGGGAGCATTGCAGTTAATCAGTTAATCTGATTCATCTTTAGGCAACAGCAATTCAACTCCTGTATGTAATAAAAAAAATACCAATGTGTACAAGCCAATCACGTCCAACCGCTCCAACGTATCGTCATTTTGGGATGTTGTAAAAAATAGTTAAGTTGGATTTGCAGATGAAGTACTTGAAAAGGTTAGTTTCAATTAGTCGTGTATTGTTAGCACTATATTATACAAGAATGATATGAACATTTTCTTTCAATGGGGTCCACCTTTCCAATTTCACCCAAATTGGTCAAAGCTGTTTTTTGTTTCAATTGAAAGTTATTGTTTTGATAAGAGGAATTGTTTCCGACAATTTTCAAAAAAGTTTGGACTAGTTTCGAAAAATTTCCTGCACGGTTCCCCTCTAAGCCTAGGGTAACTGTTGTGCCTCCTTTGCATTTGACCAAAACATTTTAATTAATAAACATGTTTTTTTTGATGGAAAGTAATTCTTTTGATGAGAGGAAACTTGAGGTTTTCGACAATTTTCAGAAAGTTTGGACCAGTAGTTTGAGGCAGTTTTTGATTTTTAAAAATATTTCCTGTGTCCCCCCTTTGCATTTTACTGAAAATTTTTAACCCATTGAGCTGCAATGCGCCCCAGTCTAACACCAGACGCAGCATTGTCTGCAGCTGTAATGGATTAACCAGAATAATATCCGACAATGTCTCTAGTTAATCCATTGAGCCGCAATGCCCCCGAGTGCACCCTTACTTATGTCTTTTATTTGTCTAACGCCCGGAGATTTTACTTGACAATGGGGAAACTGCGCAGCTATGCACAAAACCCATACAAAAGATATATGAAAGGGTTCTCAAGACATTATTTTGCTAAATACAGAGTGTCCCCCAAAAGAATGTTAGAATTTTAATAGCCTGCATACTCTGTTGAATTGTATGCATGAAGAAACTGTTAATTAGAAGAAGCTGTTTAAAATTCCCAAAAGCAGAAAATCGTATGCTTTACAAACCTCAAAAACCGTATGCTTTACGCTGTTTGTGTTCAGCTTAGTGCTTGGGCAATCAAATTCTAACAATACGGGACACCCTGTATATCATTTTGTTGAACTAAATATATTAATGAACTGGCCTATCATAGCGTGTGTATTAAGCTTTTGAGTAATAGCCAATTGCGTTTGAATACAGAAATCCATGCAATTCAAAAGGCTAGTAATTCTTTTGATTAGAGGAAATGTTTTCGTCAATTTTCAGAAAGTTTGAACTAGTCTGAGGCAGTTTATGAACTTTTGAAAAATTTCCTGTGGGTTCCCTCTTTGCTGCGCCTTAGGCAAGGTCAGGTTTTAAGTGCATGGTAATGGCGACCCTACTTTTTTATTTTACTCTGTCTGATGGCAGATGGTTTTACTTGTCAATTGGAGAGTGCTGACACTCAATGGGTTAATCTGCCCATGCATCTTGTTTTTAACTCTTTATTAACCCATTGAGTTGCATTGCACCCTGATGCGCCCTACTTTAGTATTTTACTCTGTCTAACGCCAGAGTATTTTACTCTGTCTAACGCCAGACGATTTTACTCGTCAAGGGGAGAGCGCTGGCACTTAATGGGTAATTAACTGGCCTATCTGCCCATGTGTCTAGTTAACCCATTGAGTTGCATATATTGCACCCTGATGCACCCTACTTTAGTATTGTACTCTGTCTAACGCCAGACGATTTTACTTGTCAAGGGGAGAGCGCTGGCACTTAATGGGTTAACTGGCCTATCTGCCCATGTGTCTAGTTAACCCATTGAGTGGCGATGCACCCTACTTTAGTATTTTACTCTGTCTAACACCAGACGATTTTACTTGTCAAGGGCAGAGCGTTGGCGCTTAATGGGTTAAGTTATAGTTTCATCTGTACGTGCTCAAATTAATTTGGAAAATGTATACTTATTACCCCTATATTGATCAAATTTTACCCTAAATCACTCCAAACAAAACATTGAAAATTTCGTACAAAATTTGAAAATTTTGTACAAAATTTGAAAATTTCGATGAAATATGAAGAGGGGCCACAGGCATCCTCTCACGTTTTCAAACCATTGATTCAATCTAAAGTATGTCATATGAACTGAATATAATGTTTTCTTTTCCAGGCAAGACAGACCAAGGTGGATAATGTTTCGACGCTTTCCACTAACCGTGATGAAAGTGACATGTTTTCTAAGAACAGATTGGGGCATGGCAAGAACAGAATTAAGCTTTAATCATTCAGACATTATGAGAAGCTCTAAGAATGTGAACATATAAGATAATGAATGGACTCGTCTATCCATCTGAGGCATGGAGAACTAAAACCAAACACACTTTACTAAATCAGGTATTATACTATACAAACTATAACTTTCTTTCTGTATATGATAATAAATATTCACCATAATTTAAATAAAAAAGTGAGAAAATCAGTCATTGGATTCTGAGGCTCTCTTGATCCTTTTAAGCAACAATGCGTCCTGATTGATGCCCCATATTATTTTATTCCGTGCAACGCCAGATTATTTTATGTCAGATGATTTTAATTGCAGTAAGGAATTATTGTGAGCGGGCGAGAAAGTATGTGGTACATACTATTAGCCCATTATTGCCCGTTCCTTAAAGTCCAATAATCCCCCAAAAGTGAAGGCTAATACTAATATGATTTCTGAAAAATCAGCAAAGAGGTAAAGTGGGGATAAACGCTTAATACTTCGTTTTTGACACTTCATTTTTTCAAAATGTGACGAAAAATGGAAAGTAAAAGCTCTGGCCTTTAATTTTTGGCTACTTAATTTTTTTAAATGAAATTTCGTGATGAGAGATTATGTAGAAATTAGTATGGTCTTCACGAATGTATAGATCTACCAGTCGAGTGGTAGTCTCCTGGTGTCGGATGAGGGAGTACTAGGGTTCGGTCCCAGCTCTAGTCGAAACCTTTTTAATGTCAGGCATCGTTTTTTACTAATTTCATCCGAGACGAGAATGAGTTAAGTAGAATTAAAAAAGTGTTAAACCAAGTGTAGGCGAGATGGTCTGGTGTTAAGGATAAAGTGCCTGAAGCCAGGTTCAATTCCTGGTTATGTCAAAACTATTTTAATGTCAGGCGCCGTTGTTAATTAATTCCACCCGAGATGAGCACGAGTTAAGTACAATAAAAAAGTATTAAAGCAAGTGTAGACGAGATGGTCTAGTGGTTAAGGACAAAGCGTTACAAGTGCGTGAAGCCAGGTTCGATTCCCGACCGTACCAAAAGTATTTTAATGCCAGGCGTCGTTGTTAATTAATTCCCCCCGAGACGAGAATGAAGATTTAAAGTAAGTGTAGGCGAGATGGTCTAGTGGTAAGGACAAAGTTGTTGCAAGTGCCCGAAGCCAGGTTCGATTCCTGGTTGTGTCAAAAGTATTTTAATGTCAGGCGTCGTCCTTAATTAATTCCTGCCGAGACGAGAAAACGTTAAGTAATATGATTCGAAAGAGGACAGTATAATATTAACTTTCACATCTTTTTCGATTACACAGCTTGAAAAAGTTGCTTTTTATGTCCACGGACTATCTAGTTATGCAAGAATGAGGAATCGACAGATCAATTCAATAGAACATAAGGTTCGAAACAGCATTATATCAACTTTCGCGTCGTTTTCGATTACACAGCTGGAAAAACATGCTTTTTTTGTCCACGGACTCTCTAGTTATGCAAGAATGACGCATCGACAGAAAGCCTATTGACCGTAGATTCCAAAAATACAATTTTCAGACCGTGACAAATTCTAGTTTTTGCTGCAAGGGGCCTTAAAATTCAATAGAACCTAAGATTCGAAAGAGCATAATATTAACTTTCACGTCTTTTTCGACTACACATGCAGCTGGAAAAACCTGCTTTTTATGTCCACGGACTGTCTAGCTATGCAAGAATGAGGCATCGATAGAAAGCCAATTGACCGTAGATTCCAAGAATACAATCGCGCTCGTGTATCCTTGTTTTAGCGTGCTTGTGATCATCCCGTATTTTGGG